TATTGGTGAAAATTGTTATTCTTTTTGGTCAAAGAATCCAAAACAAAAAGTAATTCAGGCTCTTTAAAAACCTTAGAGAAAAAATTAAATTTTACTTTTTGGACATGGAAAATTTGTCTCCACACAGTGCTATTCCCCCCATTTGAAAAAGTGAAATCTACTTTTTGGACAGGTTATTTTTACCTCCACATATTTGTGAAAACTTGAAGAGATGTGAATGTAAGATGATCACAGTTAATCTTAGAATAGTACTTTCTAAATATTCATAATTATAACAATATTTTACAAATTTCTATTTAGCATTAAAAATTATGAAATATAAATTTAATCAAATAACAATATTTATCATTTTAAATTGTTTAAAATGCATTCATAAAAAGAATNAGTTGTATACTACAAATCTATTAAAGTGCCTTCTGCATTCTTATAAAATAGAAGTTGAGAATTTGTGTAGATTTGGAATTGATTATTATTGAAGTAAAATATATTATTGAGAATTCAATTCAACATTTGCACAGGTTGATTCTTTAATAAATATAATATAAAATAATGTAAATTATATATGTGTTGATCACAATTTACATTTTTAACTATGCATAAATAGTTGTAGTGAAACTTATTATTCTTTAATTGTTTAATAAATATTTTCTGTAATAAGTCATTATTTTCTTATTTTTTTTTCTTTAAAAAAGAGTAATTGGATCTTCTTCGTTTAGCCCTATATTTTTTTTGAATTATTCATTAATTTTAATGTAATTTAAAGGGGACTAAGGTGTATATTTTTTTGATGCAAAAATTAAAAAGTATATCATAGGATCAATTTTAAGTTAGATATGTATATAAACAAATTCATTTGTTTAGTTGTCCAGAAATTTAGGTAAGTTCTTAATATGCAAAGTCAACTGTAAATTTGACGTGTTGATGAATTCTAAATTATTTCAATTTGCAAAAGGTGATATTGAGTAGAAATATTTAATGTTGATAATTAAGCTACCTTAAAGATTGCTCATAGTTGCTTTTGGATGTATGGGGCAAAGGTAGAAACTTGATAACAACCAGTAATTAAAATTATTAGATTTTTAATTTTTCATTTTAATCTAATTGATATAACTATTACTAAAGAAATAATTATATGAGTTTTTTTTATTTGAAATGAGCAACAAAATTTTTGTTTAAAATGATTGATTTTAAATTTTTAAATTAAAATTTAATTATAAACTATCAAAAACTCATTTTTTAGGCATGATTTAAAATTATAAAAATTCGATGATCTTTTCATTATCTCTGATTCTTTTAATCAAAATTTGTATTGATTTTTAATCTCCTTCGGTTGAATAGTCTTTCTTATTAAAGTTATGATTTTTTTATTTCTTAAAACATAAATAATTTGTTGTATTTTCTCACTAAAATTATACACCATCTTTTCATTTTGGGCTTGGTTTAAATTCTTTCTTTGTTGTAAGATAGATTATTCTAAATCTTTTTGATTTCCATCATCCATAAGTTATCCAATACAGTCTTAAAGTTTTTCCTTTGGAAATATTTCTAATATGACACCAAATATTTGTTTATCCACATCTTTAACTTAAGCAAAGATATCAGATAGAGCTTCCTTCTTCTAAAAATGTAAATTTTCTTGTTATATTTTTAATATAGAATTTTATTACTCAAATTAGAAGTTATATACTGCAAAATCGATAAAATATCTTATAATACAGGCACTTTAAAAAAAATCTTAGGGAAAAAATTACATTTTACTTTTTGGACACTGAAAATATGTCTCCACAAAATGCAATACCCCCCATTTGTAAAAGTGAAGATATACTTTTTGGACAGGTTATTTTTACCTCCACATATTTGTGAAAACTTGAAGAGATGTGAATGTAAGATGATCACAGTTAATCTTAGAATAGTACTTTCTAAATATTCATAATTATAACAATATTTTACAAATTTCTATTTAGCATTAAAAATTATGAAATATAAATTTAATCAAATAACAATATTTATCATTTTAAATTGTTTAAAATGCATTCATAAAAAGAATTATGTTATATAAATTTCTATAATCATTATAAATTGTTAAGAATAATAATATGAAATTCAAAAATTCAAAATATATATTTCTTAAGTGACTGTTAGACAGTAAATTATTAATAATTTATACAAAAAATTTTGTTGAAAAATCATTTTTATGAATAAAAAATTTTTGGATAACCGAATATATTAATAAATTTATTCTTTATTAAGACAATTTTACAATCGTGTTTAAACTACAGCTATCATTAGTATTCGAATAGGTTAACAATTATATTAAAGCCTATTGGATTCAATATAACAAAATGATTCAAATGGAAAATATAAAACGTATCGAAAACAATATTTCGCTTTATCAAAACCAATTAAGAAGCAATAATAATAAAATAAATTATATTATTTGGAATGTCAAATAAAAATTGCACCAGACTTAAGATGGTTTAAAGTTGAGTCCTTCCTATTAAGGTTGTTTATATATGATTCAAGTATAAAATTTAAATATATGAACTACTAAAATCATGAAAATCTTTATCCTTTAAAAAAAATCTATAATGATTTATTAAGAACTGAATTTTAAAGACTGATAATTTATCACTTTCACATTTTAGCAATTCCTTTATAAATTATTTTTTATATCACATATTGAATCTAATAATCAATTATTTAGATGAATCTGGAATTGGTAATGAGCATTATAATTTAGATGTATGGAGCTAAAATTATTTTCATATAAAAATTGGCAGGGCTTAAGTTAAGTAGAGAATAAGTATCGTCAGGGCAATCGGGTCAGATCTTTAAATTTTTTAATTCTTTAGAGACAACATTAATCCAAAATGAATTAAGGGTTTTCTGCTAAGATTACTATCCTAATGCAATAAACAGAATGGTTGAGGAATTATTTCTTTATCTTA